TTTATGAGGGATGAAGAACTGTGAGATCCATGTGATTGTTTATTAGGAGCATCTGGATTTCTGGATATCTCTCCCTGCCGCCCTCTCTGTCTACCTTTTGGGGAAAGGACTTTCAGAGTGGTACCCAATTTTAAAAAAAATACAGTCAAACCAAAGGCAGAAGAGGCAAGATTCTCTGGAAAATACAACAATGCTAAAAAAAGGTTGAAGGCAGCAGGAAAAGGGAAAGACCAAATACAAGATGGAATGACTCATTAAAGGAAGCCATAGCCTTGAGTTTACATGAGCTGAGCAGGGCTGTTGAGGGCAGGACATTTTGGTAAGTGCTCATTCATAGAGTTGCCATAAATTGAAAGAGACTTGACAACATATCACAACAATAAGGCAGAACATAGATAGATAGATAGATAGATAGATAGATAGATAGATAGATAGAAAGACAGACAGACAGACAGACAGACAGACAGACAGACAGACACACACACACACACACACACACACACACACACACACACATACATACATACATACATACATACATACATACATAGATACATACATACATACATACATACATACATACATACATACATACATACATACCCAATCCTCACCAATCTTGGAGGGATTGTAGAGTCATTAGAAGAATCTCTCTGATTCTGGTGTCTCTGGGTTCCTGGGGTTAACTTTCCTGGGGAACCCTCCTTGTGGATGAATAACTCATCTGAAACCCAAACTTCACCACATTTGCAGGACTTATAGAGAAGAGTCAAGAGAAGATTCCCTGAAATTTTGGTGTCTAAAGGGGAACCCTCCTTGTGGATGAATAACTCAGATATCTAAAACCCAAACGTCACCAAATTTGCAGGACTTATAGAGAAGAGTCAAGAGAAGATTCCCTGAAATTTTGGTGTCTAAATATTTGGAGAGGCATTTTATATGGTTTTGGATTTAAAAATGAATTGACAAATCAATTTATCATTCATCAGAAGAAATTTGAAAAATTGTTATTTGTCGACCTTTATGGATCATTAATAAAAACAAATCACTATTTTTCTGATTTGTGCCCATCTCTAATGGTCACTTTTGAGCTATAGCCCACCCCATTCAGCTGAGTCTCTGGGCCTTCTTCATAGGCTTTACAGGGGACCAGAAGGGCTGTGGTGGGGGAAAGAGAGGAGGACTGTTCCTGCTCCTTTCTGGACTTGTTGCACGTACCTAAATCTGGATTCTGCCATAAGACTGAACTGTGTCTTTGTATAGTTTGGGAGCCAAGAGACTTATTCTGAGTCTGACCTTTATAAAGCAAGTACTCTATGATTACTCTATGTCATGATGTTGGGTTTAACACAAATGCCTTTAAGTACTGTACCTAAGTACTGAAGCCCTTGGCTGTCTTTATGTCTTGACTGTCTTTATGTCTCCAGCACCAGTCAGCAAGAAACTTCTGGAAAGTCCACAGACAGGGTATGATGATAGTGGCCAGCCACTCCCTATTGGTTGTCACTAGTATCTAGTATAAGAGTATGTGCTACACAGACTGTTCATTTTCAACGTTCACAGTTATTATAGTGCTGATCGTAACCTTTGAGGCTCTGTACAGGATGGGGCTTGGATATCTGAAAGATGGCTTCCTGTCACATGAGCCTGCCTATCCATTAAGATGATGAACAGACGTCTTCTTCTAAACCCCGTATTATAATCCACTGAATGTTTGGACAGGATCAGGGAATGGGGAACATCCTTATATGTAGCTATGCCCAGGCTCTTGATACCTTGTTTTAGATGCCCGCCCTTGTTCTATTTTGGTGGCTTCGTTTCACATGGCAGAATACCTTAAAAAACAAAACACTGGTTTACAGCAGGCAGGTAGCCTGTGGCCTTCTGGTTCCTATCGGACTCCTTATAACTCTAGCCAGAAAAGCTGATGGCAAGGAAAACTGAGAACGGCCCCCACATCACCTGTCCCAGGTTGATTAATTAGGTTGATTAGATTCTTGATTCCTCCCTGGTATGTTTAGACTGTTCTGTTAGATACTGAAGTTGTGCATGATGTTGGTTGATAAGCAACTTAGTTTTTGTTACAATGTTGATTTTCAGTCACATGTTAAATGTCCTTCATTTGCTATTCAGCACTGTGGTCTTTTTCTTTTGTATTATTGTCTTTATTACTTCTTATCATTACTGTCATTTTGTTCCACTGCTTTCTTCTCCCTGTACCCGTCCCTTCCCCTATTGTTGAATCCTTTCTTCTGCCCATCTCCTTCTAACTTTGTTCCCAGGTGTGGTGGAAGAGGCAGATCATTCCATCAAAACCTTTGAGCAGTGAGCATTATTTTATCCCTCAGGTAAGTTATTGGATGCAAGATGGAGGGTTGGGTAGGGAATGTGGAACAGTTTAAGTACAAAATGGATGCTTCAGGTGCAAGAAAGGATGTCATTTTCTTGCATTCACCTTATGTGTCATTTAAAAATGAGCAGGGGTTTTGCACAAGTATGAAAATATAAAAGGTCAATATTGGGGATATCTTCTGGCTTTTCAGACATTAAATTGTGCACATAAGGTTGCTTTTATGAAATCCCACCCCTTCCATAATGTTACAAATACTTTGTTATCATGAGGATTGAATCTGACAGCAAAGTAATATCCAAGTCATAAAAACCATCTGGGAACATCTTTGCTGTGATACCCTCAGAAAATGGCAATTTGATTAGATTGTTTAGGGTTGATTTGTTTATTGTTTTTAATGACACAAAGGTGAAAGCTTCCGCAGATTGTTTTTCCTCTTGCTGGAAGAAAGCCTCATCAATCACAATGTTTTGAAGTGTGGTTTATTGGCTAGATCACAAACCTGATTTATTCCATTTATTCCAAAGATCCTCGTTAAATAAGCATACAAGTGGCGGGGGGGGGAGTGATAATTAAAATATTTTCTGCCAGCTAAAATAAACACAGCAGATCTCTCAAAGCCATTTTGCCAGTTCTGTCCTACTGAAAGGTACTAATAGGCTTCTAGATAATACAACCATGAAAGGCTGAGCAAAACCACCATTGTTCTTGATGCAGAAAAAGGTGATTCTTCTTCTCTTCGTACCCGCAACAATGGTCTCCAACTGTGTTAGTGAATTCAGTGTACAAGGAAACAGTGCAAGTGTATAAAGGCTCCAATGCAGAAAAAGTAGGTCTGCTGTTCTGAAATTTGGAGAAAGTAGGTTTGCTGCTGTGTCATTTATGCTAGTAAACATCTATACCACAGGAAGAACCTCTGTCCTCTGGACATAATATGGTCCACTGGGTGTCAAAATTTGGGCTTCAGAGTGTCTGGAAACCTTCAGCCCCACCTTCTTGGACTGTGGAGGAAGCCTGGGAGATTAACCTCAGCTGTTAGAGAAGAGAAGGGAAGGAGGCATGTGAAGAAGGTCATCTTTCAGTGGGTAACCAGTTTGGATTACCTTTGATGTGTGTGTGTGTGTGGTGTGTGTGTGTGTGTGTGTGTGTGTGTGTGTGTGTGTGTGTGTGTGTGTGTGTGTGTGTGTGTGTGTAAAGCAGATGGATTTTGGCATGAGCATTGTGGGTCACCTTAGAAATGACAAATAACTCTTAATTCTGTCACTTTGAATGAAAGGAGGTCTGGTGAGTCAGGTTTATTCCAAGCAGCTGAGCTGAAGCATGCAAATTACCTATGGAACAGATTGTAATTGACTATCTGATGATGTCATAATGGGTCCATTTAGCTCCAGCTTACTCAGAGAAGATATGTCGATAATACAGCAATTTATTCATTTTTCATGCCTGGATGGAGGGGAATATTACCAAATGGGAGATCTGCATTTGTCCTGCTCCCATGGAAAGCAGCAAAGCTACACAGCAACTTCTGAATGGCTTCATTGAGGAAATGTATTGGGAAGCTCTGGTAGGAGGAGAAGAAGAAGAATTTGCAGATCTGAGAAATAACACCATCAGAGCTACAAAAATGGCAGTATTAGGAACAGCATACATACTGTGCCGATATTTTTTGGTAAAAACTTGTATTTGTTATATAACACCAGTTAATGGTTTTATAATTTTGATTGACTGTGCCTGGTATTTTCAAATCATCATCATCATCATAGAACTACAGACCTGGAAGGGACCCTGTGGATCATCTAGCCCAGCCCCTGCTAGGGAGGCACACTGGGGAACTGAACTGCCCTGTCTAGCTCTGGAGGCCAGAGACCCAGGAGCTATCCAGCAGTTCCTTAATACCAACATTCCTTCTGCCTTCAACCTTGTCCTCTCTTCCTCCTTGAGCCTCAGGGGAGTCTTTGTATACATCTGTCAACAGTCCTGATTGATCAGAGAACTTTACAGATTGGGTCCCTTTTTAAAAAGCAGCTGCTTTTCCATTGCTCCATTCCACATTATCTGAAAGCATGGCAGCTGCGCAGATCTATCCAGTCACCCACCCCAGTCAGCTTTCTCAAATGCAGATGGACAGCCACTCCATGGCAGGGACATGCACACTTGGCCCAGCTTGTATGATACTTGGTTCTTAGTTGTTACAGTGAGGAGGTAGGATTAAAATCACAGAAAAGTGGCAGTAAGGTATAATAGGTGCTGGGAAAGAGAAGAAGCTGATCTAGGAGTGCATGCGTAGGCTTTACAGCAGGGTAAACCCACACTCAAGAATTTGGACCACAGCCAGTAGCTCATAGCTTTGCATATGTTTCTGAAACAGTGTCTCTGATCTATACAGTATAGCCCGGGGGCACCAGGCAACCCCTGCAAATCGGTTTTGGAGCCCCCAGCCCTTGTCAAGAACCTGATATTCTCCAGGGAGGGAGGAAGAAACATGAAGGAAGGAAAATTGCAGTAGCGACAGAATATGTTGGTCACACTGAAATGTGTCTTGAGGAAATATACAAACATTGGGTACCATCCAGTACATAACAAACTGTAGACTGAAAATCTGCATGCCAGATTGATGCCATGTTAATCTGTTGCCACAAACACACCACGCATGAACAATAAAGACCAGACTCTCACACTAAAGACTGACAAATTTATTGTGCCATAAGTTTTCCCAGGTGGCTGCACACTTCGTCAGTTTAGTTTTATCCTGTATCTTCCAGATGTGTACATAGGTCTGTATGTGCAGATAGACAATAGACAGGTACAAACACACATAAAGTGGCATCATAGAGGAGAAAGAATGGTAAACAATGTAGTCAGACTGAAATGAAATGGAGAGAGTCTCTCTCTTCTGGGAGTGGTTATGGTCAATGAGGCAATGATCACTGCCTATACTTTCTGTGCAGATGGATACAAATCCAGAAAATCTCAACTCAGTTTTTACTATCATGTAGAAGTGTGAAATTGGAATGGTTCGTTTGAGGGTCATAGAAGCTCAACATGTTCAGAGCTTTTCAAACGTAAAATAGTGTGTGTGTGTGTGGGGGGATTTCATTAAAGTGTAGAAGTTGATAAGAATCCAAGAGTTATTCAGTCGAACTTCACTGAATCCCAACTGTTCAAGGGGTCTCTAGAAAGTCCCAAAATTAGTAGAATAAAACCCAAGCTCTGAGAAAATCACAGACCTGAAAAACAGTAAGGCCTTTAAAAGGTGTATGAGCCAGGAAGGTGTACTTAATTTTAGGCTGAAGTGCCTTTCCCCTCCTGTTTAGAAGGCACTAGAGCTGATTCTGTTTGTGTGCGTGCAAGTACAGTGTGTGCAAAATCTGCCCACACAATGCTAGCATCTTGCCCCTCTTGGCTACTTCAGTGGTTTAGGTCTCTGGTTGTGGAACCAAAGGTTGGGAGTTCAATTCCCCCCTGTGCCTCCATGATAGGGGCTGGACTCGATGATCCATGGGGTCCCTTCCAGCTTTACAGTTCTAAGTATATTATTATTGTCATCAGTTTCTCTCCCTTCTCTCCAGTTCTAATCACTTCCACTTCATCTAGCCTGGCCACTGTGTCATTCACTTCTTGCAGCTGTGATTTTCATTTTCTTTCCTAACCAGAGTGTGAAGCCATTAAAACAGTTTTTTAAAAAATAAATAAATCTAAGCCTTTGATCTGCATTAGCCCTCTGGGCTTGAATCCAATTTGTGAAGAGGCTGGTGTTTTTAAAATGATATCCTGCGCCCATGTCAGTGCCTATTAGTCATTGCTTTTCAGACAAATGTGAGACATCCTTTCTTCCTAGCCATGATCTTTAGAGTTGGATCGCCCTCAGCCACCTCCAAGCTTGGGCCAGCAAGAGATCCCAACAGATCCCTCAATCCCAAGAATCTTACAGGTGGCTATTCTGAGGAACTGGCAAATCAATACACAGCAATTCTGTACTGTTTTACTCCAGTTGTACAACTGGGCAGACTTTCTCAGCTCCAGTTTACCTTTTGGCCTTGTCTGTCCCTGCCATTTGGGACACAGGTCCTTGACAGTCTTAGTGTTGGATGGAACATGAGCCACGGATAAAGTCTGAAGCTCCAGGTTTGCCTGGCGGATACCTGTGGGAAAGGGATGTGGAGAAGAGGATCCCCCGAATCTTTCTCTGCTTCCTGAGGTGTTCGGTCTCGGTTTGCATCTGAAGAGTGTGAAGATGTCCTGGCCCAGCTTCTGTTGGCAACAGTGTGATTTGCCTGAGGAGGAGGGGCTGAGGCATGAAAGGACTGGACAGAAAGGTATAACAGCAGTTTTCAACTAATAAATAAAAGGCTAACATAAAGTAGAAGAAAAGCAGCATCTTACTATCAGGCATGGTGAAGGTGAGAAACAATGGATGCAGATTGTAGGCGTTTTTAATTTTATGCTAGGGATAGTTTCCTTTCTTCTTCTTTTTAAATTACTGGGGAAAAAAAGAGTACAGAGGGTATGGAGGAAAATTTCCACAGAGGTTTTTAAAGAGAAGACAGTACATGCTGCTAAGGATGATTTGAACTGGGTAATCCATAAATTCTGGGTGCTCTGACTGACATAAAGCTAACCATGTGTAAAGATTATGAAATTGTCTCCTTTTCCCAATGGAGCAATTGTGAGATTGCCAGATATACAGCAGAACAGAACCCTGTGCTTTCATATACAACTGTGTTCTCATATATTCCTTTCAACCATTTCCACACGTATTGCAAAATCTTCAGATATAACAGAACCCTTAATTAGTCACCTATTTTTGTAGTAAACAGAACAAGAATGCAGACCTGATCTCGGAAAGGAATCTCTGCTAGTAAGAACATAAGAATAGCGCTGTCACTCAAACAGGGCGCTGACATTTTGCCCTTGAAAGGGCATCGCCAGAGACTCTGTGGCCTACAGTTGCTAGGAAACTTCACTGGATCATGCAATTTGGAGGTAAAGTGCTAACCAGGGAAGAAATTAAGAGGAGTAGCATTCCTTGTTATGGCGCAGTAGCAGTGGGAGTAGCTCAGCTGATTCTTCCTGATTCTAGATCATTAGGGTAAAGACAGAAAGACTTCGTTCTTCTGCAGGTGTCTTTGGAGGGGGTGGGGGAGGAAGAAAGGAAGGAAGTCCATTGTGACTAATATTTTACTTGCATTCCACTGACTCTACCCTGCTTTACCATTTTTGATTTGCCACAAATCTGCAAACAGCGTCCTGATTTTGGGGACAAGCATAATATTGCTTGTTGCATTGTGGTGGCGGGGAGGGGAGGGAGAAAATGCAGTAGTTTTAAATCTGTGTCCCTTTTCTCATCCACTGTGGTCTGGACTGTGCAGGCTGTTTGTCACAAACAGATGAGCTGGTGTTTCTGACTTGGGGCAACCGGTGGCTTCCTTGGGAGCACCTCAGTTTCCACAACAACATTCTGCAACGAAGAGAATCCCTCATCTCTATTCCAGAGGCTTGTGCATCTGCTATGATTTGAATGGATCCAGTTGACTTGGAGGTGGACAGGGCTTATGACCCCTGAATGTATCTCCTGTTGGAAGGGAGTGTGTGTATTGGAACCAGTCCCAGAGCCTACATGACTGAGCAGGTGAAGCCACAGCATTCCTTTAGGAGGGTCAGGCCTGTCTTTGTCACATAGGGTGAAGAGGTTTGCTGCCCTCTTGATGTCATCTTCTTGTCTTTTGCAGGAGCTGTGAAGGGGGGGAGGGGAAAAGTCACTGCCATGGGAAAAGTAATTGAAAGGCACAAATCTGTCAGAGGTAAGGTGATACACAACTACCAGTGCAACCCAGGTACATTCTGGCAGCTGCCTTACAGGCTACGTGGCAGCAGAAACCCTTGATCTCCCATAAAAAATCCCAAAAAAACATTCAATAGAGAGAAGTCACCAACCACATCTCTCTGAGGTAGACTTAGACAAAATAGATGAAGCATGCATTTCACTTTACACTTTTTGGTATGTCAGTAAAATTCTTGGATATGTCTTTTAAAATGTAAAATATGAAATGGCATTGAGAAGGTCAACAGAAGAGTTTCCATAAATGGCATAATCAAGACAGTAATCTGAAAGCCATAATAGTTTTTTTGGTTGCCAGGTCACAAGCACTAGGTGATGTCTCAAGCAATTGCTATGCTTCTCTGGGTCTCCAGGTAGGGAAATCAAGATCAGATTAAAGGTTCACCTAATCCAGCTGTGAGACTGATTTCTGTGTAACTGAAATGTGCCTGTAGTTTGCAAAAAGTCACACGTTTTCAATATTTATGGATTTCTGTACATAGAAGCAATGTGGATTAATAAAACTTGTAGAAAGAAATAACCTAATGTTGCTGGCAATCATTTCAACAATGAAAATACTTACACCTTGATACCCAGATGAGCACTGGCATGATTGAAAGGGGTTATTTGATTTCTCACTGGAATTAACCCATTCAGGGATAAATGCCAGCTGTAGTGAATCACCACAGACTGAAACTACCAAAGAGTGTTATAAAGTTTTACAATGCTTGGAGGTAATTGCTTGAGTGTCATACATGTGATTGTGACAAGGACATGCAGCCTTGTTTTGTCAGTCTTCGCAGGCCAGTGGGAAGAGCAACTTTGTGTCTCCAGATATCTACCTGTTCTCAAGGGGGAAGTATTGGAGAGCTTGTTCTTCAAAAACTCTGCCATTTCCTTGTCTTCTTCACGTTCTCTGTGAAAGGAAGAAATTGGTTTCTGGCAGAGCTTGGAAGTAACATGTTAAAAATAATGATGTTAACCATAACACATTTTTGGAGGGGAAAGAAGAGGCAAAGATGTTGCTTTTTCTCAGGTTTTAATTTTAACAATAAAACCTGCCATTGTTGGCATAATTAGTAATATTCACTTATTATTCAAAAATTGAGGGAAGAATTTGGGACATTCCTTCCCCTAAGTTTAATGGGAATGAACAGTTCAGGGAAGAGAGAATTGGCAGAAGAGAACTGGTAAAAGGTAGGCTGGGTATGTTCTAAGAAGTTATGGCTAATTGCAGCCAATTGACAAGCTGCCAGCACTTCTATGAGAAGGTGGAGAATTGACAGAGGGCAGACGTGGTGGAGGTATGTGACCCAGGGGATGAGAATTAGCTTCTTTCTCCCTTTTGCCTGCCAAAATTCCCCCTCTACTTCAGTCTGTAGAAGTTAAAGTAACATTTTATTATTAACTTAATGATTTACAGTACTTTAAAATATGCAGATTTTTAAACAGCCCTGTCTCACACACTGAAGACAACACAAAACCAGGTCAAAACAAAACACAACAATGGTCTCATGGGCAAAATGAAAGAACAGGGAGACCATGGCTAAGAGTTCTCTTGGTGGCTTTTAACATTCAAAGATCAGAACCCTATTGCCTTTTTATGAATGTCAAAGAACAAACACGGACACTGCTCTTGCTGATTGATAAGGTGCCAGCTGCCTATTGGTTGTACACCTGTTTGCACATGCAGCACATGCTGGCACAATTAACTGCAATTAGCTGTGGCAGCTTCTGCATTTGCTCTTGTACACATATAAAAATGGACCAGGAACCTAGACAACCTGGCCTACCTTAGGGTGACTGTAGGACTGTAACAGTGAAATAACTATATGTTGGTTCAAGCTCCTTAGAAGAAGGATATAATACAATGCAAACAGCATCCACAATTACTCTGGGCAGTGGACATGCTTGGAAACAGACAAAAACAATGTTTTCCATAAGTACCTGAGCCTTTCAAACTCCACATCATCCACAAGGAAATCACGGGTTTCCACCAGTTTGTGAATCTGCTGCACTAACTCTTCCTCACGCTGCTTCTTTTCTTTTGATTTTTTATTCTCTGCACCATGTGGAGAAAGAGAAAATCACACAGCCATAAGATCCCAGTGCAAGAAATCTGCAAACGCTACCCCTTTGTCTGAAATGAGACACTGGCTCCATGCACATTCCTGCCACCCTTGGAACTCTATGGAAAAAGTAAGCTCCCAAAGCACTCAAGCCTCCGGGAGAATGGCGGGGGGTGCTGAGCTCACCTGGAAGGGCAATCAGCTTCTGCAGCTCCTTTTTCAATCTGCTGATTTCCTTACAAAGCTGAATGTCATCCATCCTGCAAATAGAAAAAGGGGGAGAAATGACAACAATCCCTAAAGCACAAGGAATGACATCTGAGGAACCCACCAGCTTTAAGTGGGGTGAAAAGACCACTGGACCTGGAAGGTAAGTTGGACATATTGCTGAGCTAATGTTCATGACTTCTTGTCTACTGAGCGTATTTCCTCCAGAAAATTAAATCTGGGGCAGGGAGGGGGGAGAAGATGTGTGGATCTTCAACATTCATACCACTGAGTTCTACAACTATCTGCTTGGAGACTAACTTCAAGATGAAGTTTGATCAGATAGCTTTAAAATGCATTGCTTTTGCAAATGCCACTTAGACATAATTCATTCCAGACAAAATTCAGTGGAACTCATCTTTGCGTTGAAGAGACATGAACACAAATACTACAAGTATGATAAGCACTGCAGGCACTATAAATAAGTTACAAAAAGAAAGCTACCTGCTGGTGGTGCAGGAGGGGCACTGAAGGTGTTTCTCACCCAGAGAACTATTCATCTGAGGACTGACCTTGCATTCAGACCTTCTCCCAGATCCCTGCCTTTAGTTTTCATTATGATGTGGGGTACAACTTCAGGCTGAGTTATACAATTTTAATGAACCATTCAGTGGAGCTGACGATAATCATGTGGCATTTTTATAATTCTTGGATGCATTCTTAAGTCGAGTACTTCACCTGAGGGGAGCTTCAACAAAAATCAGTAGAGTAATTCTGTAACTGCATAGTGAAGTGGGCCACATGTGGCCTCCGGGGGCACTTTTGCTCCAACAATACCTCCTTGAAAGCCCTTATACCTACATTAAATATTTCAAATATATTCTTGGTAGACAATGAAGGACAAAAAAATTTTCTCAATTTTTAAAAAATTGTTTTTAAAGTTAAACCTATTTTCCAGTTTGAGAATAAGAAATGTTGGCCTTTATGTTGTCAGTAAATCTGAAAAACAGCCTTTTGCTTTACTGAGATTACCCACCTCTGCCATATAGAACTGGGTGTTAGCCAGCCCCGAGGCAGAGAAAAACATTAAGGTACTTGATTTCTTTACTTGAGGGCAAAACTAGTGGAGGCTGCTTCACTGTATGAGCTCAAGAGCTGCTGGGATTTCCAGGCAAGCATAAGCTTGGTTTGCACTAACTTCAGGCAGGCTATTTGCAATTCAGGTGGTCAGCCTGAGGGTAATTAATGGCTAGAAATATAATTCCCAGCTGGGTTCAACTTCAAGCTGCTGGACACCAAAGTTATTGGCATTGATCCATGCTCGTTAAATCATAATGATGTTGCACATTATCTGTGGCCACCAAGCTAGAGCCAAGATTTAATGACTGTACACTGGGGGCACCTTGGTGTATACAAAGCCACAACTCAGCATCTCAGGGGAGTTTTGAAGGACCGAGAATCCCTTGTCATGGTGGATTAACCTCTCTTGAACTGCCCTAAAGGAGGACAGCAGGATTCTTGTATTGATTTTCATTCTCTTTTGCCCATTTCTTAGCTGCTTTCCCAAACCATACTCTTCCCACTGTAGCTTGTGCTTATAGCGTTAAACTCCCAAGAAATAAATTAATACCAGCACACTGGGTCAAATTTTAAAGTTTTGAAAGCTGTTTCAGTACAATACAAATGTCAGAATATCCAGCAGCCGCAACATATAAAGGTTAATCCCAAGGAAAACAGATTTTTTTTTAAAAACCCTTTAAAAGCAGATGGAGATGGGGCCACCTGTATGTCTTTCAAATGGTCCACATGGCAGGGGCCACTGCTGAGGTACCACTATTCGTAGCAATTCTAAGTGTGATATGCGGAGCTGAGTATCATGTGGTTAGATCTCAGAGAAAAAGCCTTCTCCGTGTGTAAGAATCTGACACATCTGACTTTAACCTCCAACTTATCAAAAGGCCTAATTGCAATACCTATTTTAACTCTATTGCTGTCATTTCCTCAGCTTCATTGAAGCCACTACAGCTTCACTGTAGATGGTCTGTTCATTGGAATTTGGTCACAACAGAGTTAGATGTTGTTTTTATGTGTCATGAAGTTGCCTCCGATTGAGGAGGCAACTTGACTGCCCTTTGAGAGAAAACAAACGATATTTCAATACATTTTACATATTAGGTTATATTCTGCATGCTAAATACATTTTTAAAGTGAATTGGATGGGATTTGTGGTACTTGCAAATTTAGTTTTTAATTGAGCTTGCCCATCTGAAGGTGGCTGAAACTGGTAGGTAAGATAAAAAACCCGCAAATATTCTTTAAAATAAGAGGAAATGATTTTAAGTCATAGTATATCCCTAAATTCACTAAAGACACATTGAAGGCTTCCTTACAGTATAAGGCAACCTATTTCTTCTTTGAAACCATATCGGGTGGCAGTGGGGGGGAGCTGCTTTTGCATAGAGATCAAGGGCTTTCTGCAATTGCAGATTTTGAGATCTTTCTCAAATAAATCTGTTTGAAGTACAAATTGCTGTTTTGTTTAATTAATTTCCATGACAAGGGTGAAAGACACTGTATCAGTTATATATAGTGATTGTATCAGTTATATATAGTGATTGTTGTTTAGTCATTAAGTCGTGTCCACCCCATGGACCAGAGCACGCCAGGCCCTCCTGTCTTCCACTGCCTCCTGGAGTTGGGTCAGATTCATGTTGGTAGTTTCGATGACACTGTCCAACCATCTCGTCCTCTGTTGAAAATACCCACACTATATGTGTATACTACACCTGAATTGTAATTGGATTTGGGTCTCTTATTGCACACACACAAAATCTGCCAGACAGGAACCAGAATTCACTGCAGAAGGGCCCACAGCTGCATTCCTAAGGGTTGTTACAATGTCCCTTTCTTTTAACTAAATCTGCAGTATGTCACTATATATCTCCAATTTATAGTAAAAGCATGACAAAGCTGGCATGGAGATTTCTTAGGAGGATGTCATGTTTCATCAGGGGTTAAGCCAATGATTCTTGGTGGTTCTCCCAGGGTAAAAACGGATAGATAAACAATGCTTTAAGCTAAGAAAATAACTAATTAATGGTCAATGCCTCAGATGAGGACCATGAGTCACTAATCCCTATGAAACAGGGTTAAGGGTGAGTAGACTTAGATATGCCCTTAAATTTCATTTGAAATGTGGTGTTTCAACTCTAATATCTTACAGAGCCATCGGCCCCAGTAGCCACTACCTTGTTTGGTCTAATGTTTCTTGTCAGGCTGTATTTGCACTGGAAATTTGAATCAATTTCTGTTCACCCAACTCACCTGTGGGAGGTTTAGACCGAGGCTGCAATTACACTGGCAATAAGAACTACCGTACATTGAAGCATCACTTAAATCGATTTAGATGTTATTGTTCACATGATGCAAGGGTGAAATCAATGTATATGGCTTGCAAAGTGAGTTCTTTTTTTTCAACTGGCTGATGGGCTTTTTCAAATACTTTGCTTTTTAAAATTGATTGAATTCAATGAGGTTTTGTGGATGTGAATGCTGCTGTAATTTTAATTTGTACCTATGTGACACTGACACTTTCCCTTTGGTTTTTTATTTTTAAAAATTCTTTCTTAAAATGTTTATCACCGAATCATTTCATCAATATGTTCAGCATTACAACTACCTCCTCTGTTCTCTCCATTTGGCTGACGAAGGAGCTGGCAAAGCAACAGAAGACCAGCGGGCACAGAATTGGCGCAGACTGGCCAGGCGTGGACAAGGAGGATGGTCCACATACTAGTAGTACCAACCTGCAAAAAAGCTGGAAGTCTTCTCTCTCCCCACCCACCGCTTTATCGTTTTTTCATTTTTTGCTAGAGCAACCTCTTCAGTATTTCCCACATGGTTTCAAGTGACTATTACGATACTAGGTGGCACCTCCTAGACACTTGATTTATTGATGTATCACTTACTTAAAAAATAATAATAAAATAAAATCTTTAAGAATAGCATGCTCCTAAAACAGAAAGGAAATGAGTCGGTTCTAGCAGTGTAGACACCAAAACTGTTTTAAATCAACAGAAGTAAACTGATTTCTATTCAGTGCGTGTGAACATGGCCACTGGTTTAAATGCCACAGGATGTGAACCTGATTTTTAAAAAAGACAGAACAGAAATTGATTCAAGTTTCCAGTACAAATACAGCCTGACAAGAAACATTATACCACACAAGGTAGTGGCCACTGGGGCAGATGGCTCTGTAAGGTATTAGAGCAATCCATGGAACAAAAATTGTGCCAATTCCTGCTAGCTAGGCTGGCTAGCCATAGCATTCTCATTCTGTAACAGGGTGAGCTTCTGAGGGCCAAATTATATGCTAGAGATAACCCATCATGAGAAGGTGAAATCTGTCAGGGTTGCACAGAAGATCACTTGAATAGAACTTCATGACTGAGCAATCAGACTTACAAACGAAGTGTGCGTTTTAGTCCACAACTGCAAGCACATCATGAAGCAAGCTACCGTGCAAGCTACTGGAGATGTCAAAAGCACTTACAACGGGGACAATCACACATTTTTCAGCACTTTAATTCCCTCTTCCAGTGATAGGTTATTTACAATGCATAGTTTGGTCCTGAGTACTAACTGCTTTACTTTACAGCCCAGCTCAGTCAGGGCAGCCTTTGGTGTCCCTCTTTCAAAACACTTATTCTATAAGTGGATGAGAGGAGTAGAATAAGAAGTGTGTGTGCGTGCATGCCTGCACGCTCGCACGCAATGAGAGGAGTAGAATAAGAAGTGTGTGTGTGTGCATGCCTGCATGCGCGCGCACACACACAAGATAGGAGGTCAAGTGTGACACCAACCCTTGCTGAATCCAGTGCCATATTTGGCCATGATCACTCTCATCATGTGTCCTGCAACCCACTATCTATCACCTCATGTGTTTCTCAGGGACAACCCACTGCATATCAATAGACTAAGGTACTAATATTCCCCCCCCTTTTTAAATCAGTTTGTCCTCTCTCCCAACAATGTTCATCTTCAAAGGTATCTTCTCTCACTACTGTACTTGGTTAATATTTTGGTTTTTTGTTGGCAAAATATGTAGCAACTGTCAAGCACTGATAATAACCACTGTCTCCGCACTGGGATCCATAAAGATATTGAGGGTGTCAAACTCTTGAGTGAACATGCTCATCCTTTGGAAGAGATTGTCACAAATATGATATGATAGTGAAGTCTCTGGATGGAAGGAGGAAGATAGAAAAAGAAGGAACGAAGAGAAAGTGCTACTAAAAGCCTGAAATGGGAACTTGTACACAACTACAAATGGGAAAGAATAGTTTCTAGGTCTTCATCCACATTTCCTTGTAGAGTTAGTTCTAATTTTGATGAGGAAAATGATGCCCGAGGTGATCAGGAAACAAAAAGGTTAAGTATCCCAGAAGAGTCAGTGGATGAAACATTTACATGGTACCCCAGCACTCCCATTCCTATGGCCATATTTTAGGCACAGCAAATACATGGAGGTAGAGGACCATCCAATAATTTGAGTGCAGGGTGAGGAAGCCAAATACCAGTTAATCCTATGTATTCATTGCCCACAGAATTCAACTGGCTGAATGGGACTAATAAGAAATCCATGAAAGCAGTTGTTTTCCAACCCTTGCCCTTTTTTATATAGGCTTGTCTGTTAGCAGTACATGGCAGAAGATTCAGGGCAGGGAGGAGGTGTTCCACGATTCACATGGTTGCCAGGGTAAGGCCAGCACAGCCATTTGGCATTTTAGTGTGGGGAGAGAGGGAGGGAGGGAGAGACAAATAAATAAAATTCTTTGAGGCATGTTCTTATGGAACACGATTGATAGTCTTTTAAAGGAGAGTTCCTGCTGATGAGAACATTGTAGTAAATTGTCATTTTAATAAAATCCCCACCATTAAAATGGTAGCACAAAAATTTTCAAGTTCAGGAATAGAGGAGTAGGTGGAGCGGTCATTCTCAAAAGAAACTGAGCAGAGGTGGTGGAGGAGGAAAAAGGAGATGAGGAGGGGCAGGAGGGGGAGGCTGGAATTGCTCGCAAGAGCCCTCCCTGGAGCTGACCGTACAAACTGGGGGAATGAGATAGCAACTGCTTATCCTGGCAGTTGTTGGCACTTTGCACCTTGCTGAGCCCTCCCACACATGCCCTCCTGCTTTTCCAGCATATGACTCACATATATCTGAGTTCAGACTCCCTCCGCACCAGGACTTCACGGATCCTCTCAATTTTGAAAAGCTCTCCTTCAATGTCATCAATGGTAGTTGTGGAGTCGGCCATGGACACAATTTCATCCTCTAAAAGGAAGGCAGAAAATGAGCTGTGTTAGCAGAAGGAAACATGGATGAGGACATTGGGAGACCAGTTGGTGTGCCCCCCCCAAAATGAGTGGGCCTCAGAGTTCAGTTGGAGACATCTTCAATGGCACCGCTTCAAATATACCTCGGCACACCTGAGTAACCCTGGCAAGCTGAGTAATCTGTTCAGCCTCAAGTCTTCAATAGCACTTCTAAGACCCAGTGCTCAGATACCAATAGTTTGTTGCTGTGGATGATGACGTGAAGATGATGCTGAAGAAATGGGAGAACTCTAGGCCTGCTTTTGCTCTAACCTGAGAGTTTGGTGGATGGCAGCTGCTCCTCCATTCTTGCATCAAACTCCTCTCTGAGTATGAAAGAAGGACTGTAGTCCATTCCTCTGTTGTGCCCAGGGGGCCACATTTCCCTTTTTATTCCTCTCATGAATTGTCATTCCCTGCATCTCTTGAGGCAATTCCCCCCCCCTTCAAGAGATCATTTGTCATTTCAGAGCTTGAGCTTTCAGATTAAAAAAAAGTAGTGTATGTGCATATTTTCCCATCTTACCTGAATGAAACTACTGTATAATGATTAGAAACTGAATTATATGTGCATGTCTCCCTGCAGCCCCAGGCTTGATGAGAAGACAGCATGATACCATTACGGTTCTGTCAAAGGACCAAAGAAGAGTGTCCTCTTTCAAGGAAGGAAGGAAGAAGCAGGAGCAGGGAGGAACACCATTATATGACCTCCATGGAGACTCTGCTCACTCAGTGTCCTTCTCCCCATGGAAAGTCATTATCCCCATGGAAGTTCTGCTTGCTCAATGACATTTCTGCTACTGAATTTTAAAATGTTAGTTCAAAAGTGTCTTTAGCTTTCTGAAAGAAGGCCATAGCTCCATGGCAAAGGTCCCCAATTGATTGCCTGCCATTTCCAGATAGGACGGAGAAAGTCTCTTCCATGACACCCAGGAAAGATCCTGATGACCAGCATAGAAGCAGACAATAATGAGCCAGATGGACTCATGTTCTGACTTGATATTGTGGTTTACAGTTGCTTAAAACAAAGGGACATGGTGGTACTGCAGGTTAAACCGCAGATGCCTCTGTGCTGCAAGGCACAGCAGTCATAAGAAATAAGAACAATTCCACTCAACGGAGTGAGCTCCCGTCGCTTGTCCCAGGTCCTGCCAACCTAGCAGTTTCCAAGCATGCAAATATGAGTAAATAAATAGGTACCATCATGGTGGGAAGGTTGCGCTGGCCACGTGACCACGGAAACTGTATTTGGACAAACGGTGACTCTATCGGTTGGAAATTGGGCTGAGCACCGCCCCCTAGAATCGGACATGACTGGACTAAATGTCAAGGGAAACCTTTACCTTTACCTAAAACAATTTTATAAAATTTTAAACCAGTTCACTGAATGTAATATACACTAAAACAGAAATCAAAATGAGCCAAGTGGAAATGTTGTCTCTGCCAGTGCAGCGTACCACCACAATCCTCCCTAAAAAATTAAAGGAGAAACTCCTAGGCTTTTAACAAAAGGGTTCAAAACCAAAATGCTATTCTTACTGAGAATTTAATTATTCACTTAACCTGCTTCCATGTAAAGAACAATCACTTCTGGACATTGTCCAGGATTGTCCAGAGTAGAGCGCTCTCTCTCTCTCTCTCGCTCTGTGTGTGTATGTGTGTGTGTGTATGTGTCCTGTGACATCAAGTCAGAACCAACTTATAGCAATCCTAACAGGGTTTTCAAGGTAAGTGAGATATTTAAGGAGTGGCTTTACCAATTCCACTCCCCCAGTCAGTTCCATAGCCAAGTGGGAATTCAAACCCTGTTCTCCAGAGTCCTAATCCATTGCTCTGTCCACTACACCACACTGGGAATCCATACTGAGAGCAGAGCTAGCCCAAGACTGCCTGATAACAAGATGTAGAGCAGAGCTAGCCCAAGACTGCCTGATACTGTAACAAGATGCCAAAATTGCACACTTCCTCAGTCAATGTACAGCAATTGACTGAACCAACAAGTCAATCTGACCTGAACAGTTCTGATGGGATAATGCCCACCTTCACACCTGAGGGAACAGAACAGTTCAAAGCATTGTGTGGCATACAGAGATCTATCCTCTGGCAGAAAGAAAGAGCTAGATGGCTCAGGAGGAACAGATAAGAAGCCGCTACATCGCCCCCAGCACTGGTGGTAAAGGTAGTTACCTCACCCTGCCAAATGGTGGAGCTTATCCTAGTGGAGAAATGGCAGGTCCATGTGATATAAGAATGGCCGAGAATCTCCTCTGGTGTCAGAGGGCATATGGAATGCAGCAGGACAGTGAAGCCTCAGACAACATAGTCATACATGCATGCAGCTTCCATGAGATGGGGTGGAGGTAACAAAAGTGCCCAGATTCAATGTTTTAAATAATATGGCATTTTTTTAAAAAAAATTGGCCCATCAATCTGATGAAAGAGGTACTATGCCCAATAGTTGTCAAAGGTGTGTGTGTGCTATTTTCCTGTCTGATATGCCTTTCTACTTGTTCAAAAACCAGCAGGACAGCAGGTGAATGGGAGTGTGTATGGGTGGGGATATGGGTGGGTGGGGGGAAATTCTAGCATCCTGGCCCTACACTGCTTTGTGAACTGCCAGAAGGACTGTTCGCAATGTGTTTTTAGGGCAGGATTGTCTTTCATCAATGGAGAGAGTGGAAGGGAGAGGTGCTATCACCAGGGCCATCCTGCCATTCAGGCAGAGGAAATGTTTTCATTGGCTCCTTGCTGCTCTGTTCTCAGTGCTGCCTGGCTGCTTGCCTGGTTATGCCCATTCACAAATACAGAGAGCTGGCAGCAATGGTGTTGAGTGAAGTAGAAGGAATAATAAATAAATTGTGGCTGTGCTGCCCTCACAGGATTCAGCAAGAAATGTATTCTTCCATTATGGAACAAATTCCATTTGGGAAACATGCGTTAACTTCAGGGTATTCCAACTTCATCTGTAGAGATGCAGTGCTTTTTGGGAAACCCCAAATCTGACGTTTTATCTCCAGGGACAATCTATGGTGTTTCTATTGGCCCTGTCATCTGCAGAAACCCCTCAAAGCAACAGGCAGGGTCCCGATGCTTTGCCAGTCCTATGCACCCAGCAGTCAAACTCTATCCTGTAAGAATCTATACCATTTTTGTTTTTTTGTTTTTTAGGCAGGGGGGGAGATTGTGAATGTACAGAGCCGATAGCTTTTGGTCCCCAGCCTGCTTTCCTGACTCCTCTGCCGAAATCCTCTTCTCCCTCCTCTGCCCTTCAGGACACTCACCAAGCATGCCCTGTTTTTATTGTCAGAGGGGTAGCAAGCTGGCCAAAGTATCCAACCTGCTCTGCTCAGCATCACTTGGAGTGGGATGGGAGGCAGAAGGAATGTGCTACCAACCTGTCTCCACTCCACCATGAAAAACTTTCAAGGAAAACATAAAAACAGCAGACTATGCACATATCTTATCCATGCACACATGCAAGCATGCATTCTCTCTCTCTCAACACACACACACACACACACACACACACACACACACACACACACACACACACACACACACACACACACACACA